GAACCTGTGCCAGTGCTGTACCTCATTTGGACCATGGCCTCGCATTACCCAAACACATGGAGCAACATATTCCTTCCTGAGGTATTTCCTCCAGAAGCCTTCCCTGTGTTAGTGAAACCTTGGGGAACCTCTAGGGAATTTGGTTTATAATTTGATTTAGCCACTGATATGGAGAGATGAAATTACTGTGGTCAGGTGATTCTTTCTTCTCCCTGTCCACAGCATTTGCTTGGTATGTGGAAAACTTGTCAGCAAAAGTATCTTCCATTGAGTCTTGATTTCCACTTCTCAAGCCTGCAGCATTTTTCACTGCACTTTTTCTGTTTGCTCTGCCATGATCCTGTTCTTTTGTGCTGGCAAAAGTTACTGGTAGAAGTCAGTAGAGAAGGTGCTCTCAGATCTGTCAGAGGAGCAGAGAAACGTTGCTGCAAATGAATCACGCTTTTTACAAAGTAAAATGAAAACGTTGGACTTGCAAAGCCTTTGCACTCTAGGCTATTATTTATGCTTAACACCATGCTGACCAGTGGAGCCATGTTACTGGAGCTGTGCCAGTGAGGGTACATTGTTTTCTTAAAGTAAACATGCACAGATTTCAATGAAGCAATTCTCCATGGGGCTCACTTCTGACTGAAGTGCAACATTGCAGTAGTGCCAAAGTGTCTTGAGAGCTTAGCGCTTCCTGCCCTCCACGTAGCTGAAGCACAGGAAAACATAGGATTCTTGCCATATAAAATGGTTTTGGTTTCTGTCCAAAGAAGCATTGCTGGGAAGTGTGACATCACAGCACAAATTGGCATGGTGGTGGGGAAATGCTTCCTTAATTTTCCACTGCGGCGCTTTGCCAGAAAACTTTCTTGTTATTCCTTTTGCAGTTATCTGAAAGACTTTTTTTTTTTTTGGTCTCTTGCAGAATTTCCTACAGCGAAGCAATAGAAATTTTGAAGCAAGCTCCTCAAACTTTCACTTTCAAGCCAGAGGTAGGTAGTTGCCTGGTGGCTTGTACTCCATGCCTGTTCATGCACACAGCCAGCTGGAATTTTTGAGATCTTATTTCTCTCTATCTGGTACCACCAGAGTTGTTACTTGGCACGGGTTACTTGTTACTTGCCTCCTGGGGTCTTTGCTCACTTGTAACCCAGGTATAACTTTTGCCTTTTGGGGCTGAAATGGAAGCAATATGAGGAGTGAGTTCTGTAGCAGAAGAAAGTGTAAGGGTTGTAGGGAAGGAAGTGATGAGTTTGCTGTTGAAGGACCAAAGCTTTAGCAGAAGTACTTCTCTTTCCTGCATATGGGTAGTGCTCAGAGTGCTGTGGATTCAGCAGCACTCATCTAAGGAGGGTTGCTGCAATAGTCCTCAAATAAAGGAATGCTACTAGGACAGCACCAAAAGTTGGACAAGAACTAGTAATCCAAAACCATGTTAAAATACCATGTAACTAGATGTAGGTAGAAGGAGTCCCTTGTCTTTCCGAAGAATAGATGTTGACTGGGAGAAAGAATCACATACTTGTCTTTCTAACACTGTTAAGATTATGGTTTCCTGAAAATAGTGTTTTGTCCAATTTCAAACACACATTTCAGTAGGAAGAGCATTTGTGGTGGTGTTCATCTGATGTGTATATTGATAATCTTTATCTTGTGGAGCTTTGAGGAAAATAAACCTCTGGCTGGAGCTTCCTTCATAGCAGCTGAGTAGCTGTATTGTCTCTCTGTACAAATGGGTATAGAACCTCAAATCCTGTATCTCCACTACCTTGGATCTGAGACAGCAAACTCAGGATATTTTCAAATTAGCAGATTCTGCAGGATATATGTTCCCCTCTTACCCTTCCACTCCCCAGATATTCTTTGCACATCCTGTAGTGGACTGGAGGTATCTTGTCAGAAGCCACGGGTTTGTAACATCACTGGAAGAAAGGAGAAGTGAAGGACTTCTGAAATGTCCGAGATTTCTGATAACAATGGATTGATTGAAAGATACTGGGTTTTCTTAAATGAGAATTAATGTAGCATGTAACAGGACACAGCAGGGAAGAGAGCAGTGAGCCTAGTAAAGCTGCTTTCTATCTACTAAAGGTAATACTGAAGTAAGACTGGTTTGCTGGGTTGAGTAATCTGATATTGGATAAGTGCCTGTTTCCCGTAGGCTATGTGGAATGTGATTATGGGATGTTTGTTTGTTTGTTCTGGGGTTTTTCTGATTTGATACCAGATGCTTGGGCTTGATAGAGGGATGATCTGGCCCTGTTCTGTGGAAGTTAAACCATGTTTTTTTAATTACTTTGCTCTGCCTTAAAGCTCATGAAACTCTGCTTAGCACATTCTCCCAGTGGCCTGTGTGAGAAGTTGCTGTGCTTGGTTTCATGTTATTCAAAGCTGCACATCTCTCCTGCACAGGGATTTTGCTGTGTCTCTTGCCACAGGCAAGATGCACCAAAGCAGGATCTCAGGTCCCTTTTACTGTCTTTACAGTGGGGCTGTGACCTCCAAACAGAACATGAAAAGTACCTGGTGAAGCACTGTGGTGAGGTTCCTGTGTTTGTCATTAACTACCCATATGACCTCAAACCTTTCTATATGCGGGACAATGAAGATGGACCTCAACACACAGTGAGTCCATAGGTCACCCTTCACCTCTTTTTTGGCTAGGTATGTGTCTTAGCCTGCTGACAGACAGATGAGGGTAGTCTTCTGCTGGACCTCTGGTCAAGTAGTCCAAGATAAGACGTGACCATCAGGTGATCCTAAACAGTTGTTTTCTGTTGTGGAAGAAATCCCCAAAGCAAGAACAACAGGAGGGAGGATTCAGGATTTCGGTAGCATTAAGTTTTTGCTGAAGTCCTTTAAGACAGATTTGCCATAGTTGATTTCTTTTCCTGATACACTTCGGTACTGCTAGGTGAAGTGTCTAGAATTGCATGGCTCCAAGCAGCCTGTGATTCTCTTGTCATCCAAATCTACCATCCATTTAATCCTCAAATACCATATGGACACAAGATGCAAACTTTTATTCTCCAAGACTCATGCTTAGAAGTTGTGATTTTCTAATTCAATTGAGACAACCTGAAACATTGTTTCTACTGATCTACTACATCACAGTGCCACTGTCCCTTGTGGCTTTAACTCTAGCAACAGTTCGGATAAAAGAAGTAGCTACAAAACTAACAGAGAAGAAAACCAGCCCAAACCTAACAGCATAGGTTTTAACAGTGGGATCCTAACCCTTGTATCAGCACATCAGTGCCATTGATCCATGGGTATTTTTACCCCTAGAGCTGGCTCAAGGAACCCCCACTCCTTGGGGGATTTGGCCAGACAGGGTAAGCACAAGTTACAGGTATCAAAGCAGCTTCAACTCTTAACTGAATCAGGACTTCAGGAAACTTGCCCATGTGTTTTTGTCTCCTTGTGAGCTGCTGTTGGGTTCTTTATACCCTGCACAGGCTTGCCTAATGTGCACAGGTTGTCACCAGTTTAACCTGGTGGGATTCAGTTCACACCACCTGCTGCAGATGTGCTCAGTCTGGAACAGCACTGCACTTGTTCAGGTTTCCTGTAGGCTTACTGATGTTTATCATTGCAAAAGTTCCCTCCCAGCCTTCTCCTGTCAACAAGGGACTTTTACCCGAGTCCTGAACTCAATAAAAGAATTAGAGTAGCTTTTTACAAGCATCCATCCACTCTCAACTGTACTTCTGCCACAGACTATGGCTACATGTCATGACTTCTCTTGGGTTTCTTTCTTTGAAGGTTGCAGCTGTTGATCTCCTTGTACCAGGAATAGGTGAGTTGTGTGGAGGCAGCTTGAGAGAGGAGCGACTGCCCTTCCTTGAATCCCGCTTACAGAGGTACGGAAAGCCCACAGATGCCAGGAGACTAGTCTGACCAAGAGAGTGGTCCAGCAGCTCTTAAAGGTTGGCAAGAGAGAGGAGTGAAAGGGCAACTCATGCTATTTTTTTAAAAAGGCTTATTTTTGTCTTTGAGATATCTATTGATCTGAGTAGGTGATTGCAAACTAGCAAAGAAGTTCTTCTGCTACTGTTGTAGGTGTGAAAACTGCCTCTCTGGTTTAGGTCCTCAGAGAAGAAGAGTTTGTTTTATGGTAGGAGGCCAGGGCAGGAGAGTGCTCAGCTCTACTGGGACTGTCTAGAACAAGGTCTTGTGTCAGGCACTTCATCCTGCACCCTTTGCAGCTTTTTCAGCTGAGAGTGGGTTGCAAAGGTGGAAGTCGTCACGTAGACAGAGAGAGCTTAGATACATGTGTCATCACATTGTGTAACTGAGGAACTGCAGATTTGATCGGAAGCTTTACTGTGATGCAACTGGCCTCAGTGGCATCGTTTAAGAGATTGCAGTTCTTTGCTAACAGTTTGGTGAGAATCTTCACTGGAAGAGCCTGGGACCTGTACTGAGTCATATGGCTTTTTCCCTGCTGCTTTGTTCTGGATCATGTCATTTGGAGTAATTCTAGGCTAAATTCAGTGTCAGAATATCAAAGCTGCAGTTCCGTTAACAATAATTGACATTATAGATGTGGTAATTCTCTATAGACAATTACTCCTTGGATACTGTCTGATGTTCAAAAGAGCCTTTCATAACTCAGATGAGTCCATTTGGGCCAGTCATACACTTGTGCAAAGCAATTTGGGGGGAGGATTAATCCCAGAGTAACACCATTTGCATGTTGGGAATGAACTTTTTGCTTAAATCAGCCACATGCTCACAGAGATGTATCTAGTCAGTGGAGAAGAGCAAAATCCATTCCAGCATAATGCACCCAAAAGGCACAGAGTAATTAAACTCACCAGAACATTGGTTCTCAATTTGTAGTGTAGGATGATGGTGTTCCCAGTGCTTCCTGATACTCTCCCTGAGAAGCCTCCTGAAGCAGGCAAGCTTCAGCTGAAGCAAAGTACAGTGTTGCCTGCTGCACTTCTCCACTTGAAATTTTTGTTAGTGAGATCTGGAGTCCACAGCCCTTATGGTCTGGGGCTACCAGAGTGGTCCCTGTGGAGATTGAAACCAGACTTTCTTGTTTATCAGGAAAGTCATAGGAAGTATTTCAGGCTACAAATGGGGTGTGTCTTCAGTGACCTTAAAATACAGCTCTGCATTGAAGATGACCTGGAAAAATAACACCCCTTTTCACATGTGGGTTGTTTTTTTTTAATTTAAAGTACTGAGGGTCTGATCTGCTGAGCCCAAATACTTTGTTAAGGCTTTTAAATTATACTTCCTGCAGACCCAGCATAACTAAGAGAGATAAAGAAAGGGATTCTTGTCTGCTTATACAGACTTCATACAATAGCTCTCCAAGTCCTAGTCGGGGACAGCTGCAATGCACTGAAGACGAGAGAGAAGTGGTCTTTCTTTGCCTACAGTTTTCTGTTTGTGTTCTGAGAAATGAGGAAAAAAACCCAGCAGTTTCACTCTGACTCTGCCAGGGCAGGAAAAGGGGAGAGGGTACACTGGTGGCAATTAGAAAAAGATGTGTTTTATTGAGAAGCTTTGACACACATTAACAAAGCCATGGGAGTTCAGTGGTTTTGTGCACTACGGAAGGAGAGGCACATGTGAATTTGAGATTTTGACTCACTCATAAATGAGGTTGGCTGAATGTGTTGGTAAATTTAATGGTTGAGCCTGTGCTCTCCAAACATTCACAAGCAGTTCACTGACATGCTGAAAGTTAAGAATTTGCACAAGTCCGTACATGAAGCTAGGATCAACCCTGTATGTTGACAAAACAAACTTTACATTTTAAGGAGCATATTGAGAATCTGTTCCAAGATTGTCTACTGATTACCAGAACTGACAACCACTGATCATGTCTTCTCTTAATTTTCTGCTTTGCCTTTTTGGACTGAGTTTAGTGATCAGACCCTCCCTTTTCTTGAATGCGCTCTTCCAGGTAAGGGCTGCTTGCGTGGATCTCCTCTGTTCCTTTACTTACAAGGGGTTTTCTTTTTGTTCCACAGATTAGGACTCACAGATGCCTACCAATGGTAAGACACTCTCTTGGTCTGCAAGCTATATTTATTCTATTAAGACTCTCTAAACAACTGTCTCATTTTTTTGATCCTGTTCTGGAGGGGATGTTTCTTGGCTCGGTTTCCCTGCCATCACTGCCAGTCTAAATGGAACAGCCAGTTTTAAACAAAGTTTAATCTAATGCTTCTTAGTTTATCTTCCCAATTTGTCCACTCACAGCCCAGGTAATTTCTTTCAGGATTGCATGAAGTGGATTAATTTACAACCCATCAATGATTTTTTATATTAAATCATGAAGCTGTGTTCCATTTTTAATAGATTTTGACCACCATTGCATGAGATAAACAGGTTACAGAACCACAAGCAATTTGTGACCTTTAACAGCTCTATGAATAACTCCCTTTGCAATTGACTGGGCAGTTGGGCTGAAAAATCTTCCTTAACAAAGTGGTTGAAGCAATTAAAACTGCCCTGCTAAGGAGACAGAGCAACCTTTGAATTAACGGTTTAGCCTATTAAAACGACAGAAGGATCTTAGTGTTCCTCTTGACAAGTGTTTCTGGGTATGTAGTTTGTCACAATTACTAAGAGATGATAGCACAGGGAATTTTAAGTCTAGAAGAGTATATTCAAATAATCTGCCATATTTGAAATGATCTTTAGGGAGGCTGCCTTGAAAAAAAGCAGAGTAAGTGTAGGATTCTTCACTGTCCTCTTCCCACAATATGAAATAACTTAGAAACAACCCAGTGCATGGCAGACCTTTACATCATCCATTTGCAATGGGTGTGAATGAAATGTCTTCTTTCATTGGTTGCATTTGTGGACCAGAATACACCATATCACCTCATCTGAAAGAAGGATTATCCTGACTAAGGATGATCAGTTGCATGGTTAGATGCTGAGATACAGTCTGAGGAAGTCTGGTGTTCAGTGGCAAGCCTGCCAGCACTGCTAAAATAGCTCAGCCCTGCCTCATGCTTCCCTCAAGGGAGAAGGTTAAGATATTGCCTGTCAGCCATTTGCATTTTCATGTGTTGTGTAGCAATAGCATTCTGGAAGTTCCTTCCTCTTGTGATCTTGTTTTGGAGACTTTCCTCCTTTATTCCCTCCACTCCATCTCAGATGATGTAACTTCCCAGAGATTAAAACTGTTGTCACCCCCTGCCATAGCATGTTCTGATGACCTTGGAAGGTGCAAGAGTAATCCTGGATGCTTCTGGACTGCAGTCCAGAATCTGCCAGAAAACAGTTAAGTGGCTTGCCAGCATATTTTCAGTGGAGGTGGCAAGAGAACTGAACTTAGTCTCCCATTTACTGATTGAATTTAGTCTCCAAAGCTGGCTCACAAACTCCTTGAATAACAGTTGAGTCATTCCTTTTAAAATATAATATTTGCTGACATTAGAATGGGCAGCTGTATGATACCTGGTCCCTTTAGAAATCCCTTATATGGTGGCTTATCTCTGTTTCTACCTGTTTTCTTCTCCAACTAAGCATGAGGGTATTGTGGGGACTAACTGCTTCTACGACAGCTTCAGGACTGCCTTGTTTGTGGAAGAATTCTTGGGCAAAGAGGCAACTGATGATGTGAAACACTTGTGCTTGTGCCCATTCCTGCCTTTCAGAAAGCTTTTTTTAAAAAAGTAGATAAAGGGACATAGTCAAACTCCTCTCAGTCTTCTTCACTACATCTTTCCTGTAGTGCAGGTTTCTTTCCATAAAGAATATGAGTTGCAAAAGTACTTGGCTTGATTTTGCAGAGTTATTTTATCTTATTTTACCACTCCTTCCTTGGAAGTCTAGATAGAAAAGAGCTCAGTGCTGTAGATGCTGATCTTGGCTAGACTTGGGGATTTCTGTGGAAGTGATCTGGGAAAGTGAGGCCATCAGAGTTTACTCTGGGAAGTCACTTTCTTGGTGACCAGAGAGTATCGAGTACATTACCTTATAAACAAGGGACTTGATCCGGTTTGTGGCCTCCAGGTTCCAGCTTAGCACGAGCAACAAGAAAGCAGGTACTTTGTAGTGAATGTTTTCCCACTGTCATCAGCTTGAGCAGCATTTCATACAGTCTTTCTACATGTAAGGCACCCATTTCTTCACTCTGGTTATCATCATTCGTGTCAGCAGAGAGGATGGCCTCAAATGGAGAGGATGGCTTCATACTGAACCCTTTACAGTCCAAGTACCTTTCTGCTCTTCTGGTGTAGTGCTGGTGAAAGCTCAGAGTGGCAGCGCAGGTGTTACCTGCTTAGAATGAATATTACTATCTTCTCTTGGCTTTGCTCCTGCTTCAGATGGAGAAGATTGAGCTGTGTTGGACTCTTTAATGACTCATTTTCTTTGGAGCATGAATGCTGGAGTGTTCTGTTGGGTCCTTTTGGGACAAGGTAGAAAGAAGGACTTGGATTTAAGGAACAGCAGCACTGGTGAGCTACTTACAACCTGTGGCCAGTGATAGTATTCATATAATCCTTTAACTTCTTTCAGAGCCCAGCAAGACCAGGCAGCTCATCATTGTCCTTGGCAGTTGCCTGGTCCTATTACTCCTGTTTTGGGAGGAAACAGTGCTGTGCTGGGCCATACTGGGGCAAGCAGAAAGTTACAGAATCGTAGAATGGTTTAGGTTGGAAGGCACCTTGAAGATCATTTAGTTCCAACCCCCTGCATGGGCAGGGACACCTCCCACTAGATCAGGTTGCTCAAAGACCCATCCAACCTGCCCTTCAGCACCTCCAGGAAAGGGGCAGCCATAACCTCCCAGGGCAGCCTGGGCCAGTGTCTCACCACCCTCACAGGAAAAAATTTCTTCCTAACATCTAACCTAAATCTATCCTCTTCTAGTTTAAAACCATTACTCATCATCCTACCACTACACACCCTGGTAAAAAGTCCCTCCCCAGCTTTCCTGTAGGCCCCCTTCAGCTACTGCAAGTCAGTTGTGAAGCCACTCGAAACATGACCAAACCCCACTTGTGTCAATGGGAGTGGTTTAGATTTTCCTCCCTGAAGGCTTTTTTGTGGATTCCCAGAAAGTTGTAACAAAGCAGAAGCTGCCTGAAACCAAAGACAGCATTTTGCCCAGCATCAGAACCTAGCAATGCTTTGCATGTTTATTTCCTGAAGCATTCAACAATCTTTCAGATGTCATTTCACAGTGTTTTTTTTTCATTCTGCTTTTTTTTCCAGTAGAATGTTCATCTTCATGGGCTGCAATATCTTTGTTCTTTCAGCCATACCTTTTTCAAACTGGCTGTGGAGGCTTCAGTATAACAAGGGGTTTATATAAAAGATCAAAATTATATTTGTTTTGAAAGGAGACCAAAAAGAATACATTCAGCTTATGAATGGTTACTAAGAGTGAACTGATCTTCATAGTACCTTGCAGTGCATCACAGGAGCTTGTGGTGATGATAAAAGTGTATAGATTTTTAAAGAGGATGAAAGGAAATGCTTTTCTAACTTGGCACATAACAAGCTCCTGGAATTCACTGCCGGGGGATGTTGTTGCAGCACATACTTTAGTAAGATTCAAATCTCTGAAGAACTACCAGTCCTCCAGGTCCAGAACATGAACTCTGGGACTAGCTGGGGTCGTAGAAGGTTATTTGCCCCATGAAATACTGTTGCACAGTCCCCCAGTTGCCAACGGAGGGCTCAGTTCGAAGTATGAGCTACTAGGAGAAATAGCTTGACTAGTTCATTACTGGTTTCGAGATAAGAAACATCCAGTGTCGGGAGACTTGTGAATGAAGAAAAACCTCAGGGAGCATTTTCCAGCCTAAAGGGAATTTTCTCTTAATCTGCAGGCAGTTACTCTTTTTCTTTCATCTGGGAAGAATGGGAAATTTCTCAATTCCATTGCTTCTTCTAAGCGCAGTCATCTGAAAGGATCCACAGTCTTGATCCTCAGCACATTTAATTCAATGGGCTTTTTCCATTAACTTTAATGGGTTTCATTTCACTCCTTTTGCCAAAATGGCTTCTCAGAGTGCTTTGAGATCTACAGATGAAAGTCCTGGATAAACAGGGCTAGGATTTATTATTATTGTTCATCTGAAAGAAGTTGAGTTATTTCATCTCCTTACAATGACTTTATAAAGTCTGTTGCCAGCAAAAGGGAAGAAATATATCTTAGTCTCAACTGTCTCTGCACAGGCTGATTGCTTATGGATGTCAGCAGAAATGTTTGTGCTGTTGTTTCAGTTACTAGTCCCACCTAGAGTTGTCACCACCTGGTTTGCCAGTTCCTCTCAGAACTAGTGAGTACAGATCTGCCAGGGCCAGCACCTGGTATCCCTCACATTTACGAGGTCTTTCCTGTTTCACAAGTCACCACCCTCAGCATCAGATCTGTCCATCATCTTCCTTTCAAACCCTTGAAAAGCTGCTAAGTGGAGCTCCCAGGGGGCTTTTATCAACAGAAACTAAAGTTATTCTTCATGTAGTCTGTATCAAGGGGATAGAGATGAAGACCACCATGCTGTTCCACAGCCTACATGCTCAAATCATAAGCATAATTTTTGTCACAAGGTGTAGGGTGGATACAGCTGAGCTTTATAGCAAGCCAAGCTACCACCCTGCAGCACAGACAGAAAACATGTGGCTCCCAGGGATCAGAAATCTTATGTCCCACTCTTGACTTACCTGTTTGACTTACAGGTCATAACTAGATTTCATGTGTCAGTGCTACTAGGATGAGGTCAGAAATTCTATGAGGGCAGTGGAGTGGAGGGGACAAAACACTGGGGAGAAAAACCTAAAGATTGGATTGAGTGTAATAAGTGGCTTCCCAAATTTTAACTACTGTTAAGGAGCTGCAAGGTAATGTAATATTTCATGGTATAAAAGGTGTACTGTGAAACTGAGTCTGCCAGGGTAATCTCTTGCAGCTGTAGAATTGGTTGGAGAATATTTCTGTTCTCCAAGTAGAGGTGATCAGGGGCATTATTCACTCTGTTAAAACATAGTCTTCAAGGCAACAAAATTCTGAAGTACGTGGAACTCTAAACACACTATAAAACACACTGTTTCCTTGCAGTTCATTAACATGAGTTACAATTGGGGAAGCTATTTAATACAATCAATCCAATATTAATTTCTTTCACAGTATATATTTATATATAAATTTATTTATATATAATTTATATTTATATATTTCACATATATATTTATTTTTTTATATATTTATATTGAAGTGTACTGGATGTTTTTTTAAACTGGTATGATAAAATATTCATACATGAAGGTTATAGGCATGTAATACATCTGGAGTCACTCAATTGCTTACTAGTTCATTCATATAAAGAAGAATAACTGTGTCCTCAGCTAGCTCAGAAGTGGCCCCATAAATCAGTAGGACCACTGAGATGTTCTTCAATCCTATTAAAGTAAAACTGCTGGGGACAATTTATTGCTGCAAATATAGTTCTTGTGTATCACATCAGCTACAGTCCAGCTGGGAATGGGGAACTCCAAAGAATTGTGCTGACACCCATATATTTTGAATATCTGCTTCCAAACATTTTCTGAGTTGTCTGTGCACAATGGGTGCTGTTCTCCAAAGTGAAATGTCTTGTTCCAGATCTCATTTATCGAGAAGATATGTCCAAGATTTTTTTGCTGACTTACTGCAGAAATAAGTGAATCAGTCTGATTCTGGGAAAAGTAACAAGAAGCCATCATAATTACCTTAAAAAGAAAAAAAAAAAAAAATCTGAAGCAGATAGAAGACCTATTTAGCCTTCTGAAGAAATGACTGGAAAAGAAACTGCTTATACTATTGAAGAAAGAAAATGAAAGAAAATATTTTTGGGCAGATTTCAGGACTGGCATGACAAGAGGAAAACAAACCCAGGCAGGCAACTCCGTCACTGACAATGGAAATGTTTTGTGTTTCTGTAGGAACATGGGTTCATGCCTCTCTTAGGAGTATTTTAGATACTGAAGCTTAGAAAAGATGTTCCCAATGTGAGCAGAGCTATAGTGTTAAAACTGTTCTTCATACCCAGATGAGTTCTTGCTACAAAATAAAACAGGCTGTAGTGTGTTGGCAGAGCACAGCTCTGCTGGTTTAAATGCACTTGCACTTGGGGTTTCTGCTAAAACAATTCAGGCTGTCAGCAGCAACAACTCTTCACACCCCTGACCAACTTGGCCATGTTGGCAGAAATCCACAGTGGTTAGGGTCAAAGAATAGTAATAAAGTTGAAAAGCAAAACCCTAGCTAAAAAGCTGGCTCAAGTTGCATAGGCAGAACTGTGCTGCAAATGTAACTGTCTGTTTAAATTACAGGTATCTGGACCTCCGAAAATTCGGCTCAGTTCCTCATGGAGGCTTTGGAATGGGATTTGAACGCTACCTGCAGTACATCCTGGGAGTTGACAATATCAAAGATGTGATTCCTTTCCCCAGGTTTTCTCACTCCTGTCTCCTGTAGCTCAGCAGTTGATTCGTGGAGAATACTGCTGGTGTGTCTGTATGTATATAACATATTAGGATATGACTAAATGTGTTTTAGCAGGAAATGGAGATAATTTTTATATCAGTGGAACTCTTAGTAAATTTAATATGGGCTTATTGAAAATAATGTATGTTGTGGCAAAATTATGGAAGCACACTCTCAATTTGATAGCAGTTCATATCTTCAGTGCACTTCAGGAGTATAAATAAATCCCACTTAACTTAAGGGTTAAGATCCTCATGAGACTAGTACAAGCCATGGAAGTACTGAATAAGCATTGTTGGGAGGTGTAGTGGGTTTTTTATGTGAAGTGTTAATATGGAGGTGTGACCTAAAATGGACTGGGAGCCAGGGACTGCTGTGAGGCTTCAATGGGCTTTAATTAAATGGCTGAACAGTACTTTGAAGGTTGAGCCTTATAAAACTGTGAAGTATTGTCATGGCTGTGATGCACTTGCTCTTTGAAATGGCTTCTGTAAAGCATGATTCTCCCCACCCTGAGTTAAAAGCAAGTATTATTTACCTTGGAAAATGAGGCAAACCTAGCAAGGAAAAATGTTATATTGGAACTGCTGAAGTGAATTAGGTGAATTATGTTTGATTGTGTGAATCATCAATAAAGATGTACACTGGGTTGTTTTGTAACTCTGTATGGTTCCTTCTGTTATAAAACTGTAGCACTCAGCATCATAGTGTTTCCTTCAGTGTCTTTGGAAGATGTTTCGTTTTCTGAGTACCCAAATTAGTTACACAACTTCTGCAGGAGGTATCTGTTTTCTGTCTCCAAGAGAGCACATGTTCCTAGCAAAAATAAATGTTCAGTTAGATGAGAGTTCATTCATCTCTCCAGGGCCCACTTGCAGTTTTACTGGTGGCTTTTTGTTGTTGCTTTGCTTTTTTGTTCTTGTTATTGAGGAAATATCTGATGTGCTCATCAGACCAAGCAGCTCTGTCTTTATTTTGAAACAAAAAAGCATATGCTCCCAAGCATTGCATATGTATTAAGTAATTGCTTATCACTTTAGGATCTGAACTCCTTGCAGTCTTTAATGGGTTTATGCTCTTGGCTTCCCTGCCAGGTAAAGAAATATTAATTTCTGTTTTGAAGACAGGATTATGGAAAGATTAAGTGACTTGCCTGAGGCAATGGGAAGCCAGTGGTTTTTGTGGCACTTGAACTGAGGGTTTTCAGCATCCTTCTTCCCTTCCAAATGGTCATTTGCATAGTGCTTACTACTCTGGAACCCCAGCCGGCTGCGGTATAAACAAGATACATATATGTGTGTGTGTGTGTGTGTGTGTGTGTGTGTGTGTGTGTGTGTGTGTGTGTGTGTGTGTGTGTGTGTGTGTGTGTGTGTATAAAGAGAAAAAGCAAAGTTACAGCCTTATTGCTAATGAACTGTAATGAACTCTGTGTAAATTGCCACATACAACGTGAAGTGGCTGCAGAACAGCCCTTAAGACTTCTTTTCCAAGTAGATGAAAGGGATTGAAGAGTAGTAATCAAACAGCACTGTGCTGGTGATAAGGCAGTCACTGCTCTCTGGCAGGGCTGATTCTGCACCTGCACTATCTAAAAATACATATTTATGTCATGTGGCACCTGCCATGTTTCAGTTTGATCCACGACTGAGGTGTTTATGTGTTATGATCATGCAAACCACATCACCACAAGGTCATTGTTTTGGTGTGTTTGCTGCATGCACTGAGACACCTCCTGCGTTTCAAGAGGGTTTTTTCATACCTCCCTGATGCGCTTGATCAGGCAGGTGTTAACTGAGCATTTGCTGGTTTGCATTTCCCAGTACAGCCTGAGTTGGTAAGTCTGGTTCCACGAAGCAGTTCAAGCACCTGCCTGCTTTTTGAAACCTCTGAGAAGTTCCTACATCAAACACCCTAGTATCTTCTTGCATTTGGACCATCTCTCCTTTTAATGCATTGTCTTAAATGTTATTGCTGCCCTTTTTACAATTACTTCTCTCAAAAGAAGGATGTGGAAAGAGTACACCTGCCAAACAGCCACTTCCATACCATGTTCCTAAACAACTTGCAATGAACAGGTGTCATTATTGAGAACCTTAGTTACTGGTTCTGTCATAATTGTTGTTAATGAGAGTGCTGGAAGTGGAAGCCCATCTGATGAAAACAGAGTGGGTGGATGGCAGAACCATCTCCTGTCCACTCTGTGCCCATCCCTGCAGCAGCTCTGGGCTGGTCATGTTGCTTTTGGAACCACAGGTTGTTGTCAGCAGGAGGTTGTTGTTTGAGATGCCAAATCTGATGGGCAGGGTGGGGCTGGACAGTGACAGGTGAAAAACAAGGTGTAGAGAATAAGAGAATAGAAGGTGCTGAAAAGTCATGGGATGATGTGGCATGAGTCACAGGTTCCAGGGAAGGAGAGGAGGACTGTTCCAAACAGGCTTGCAGAGTGGTTGTCAGGGCCTTATATGAGTTGACACCTTGAAAGAACCAGGGACTGGTATGATCCACCCTTCTTTCTCTGCCTTGATAAGAGGTTCTTACACAGAATCACGGAATTGTCATGGTTGGAAAAGACCTCTAAGATCACCAGGTCCAACTGTCAATCCCCCCTGCCCACCCCCCAAAAAAATGTTTTTTTTTAATTGCCCACTAAAGCATGTCATGAAGTGCCTCATCTCCTTGTTTTTTAAATACCCCTAAGGTATTTTACCATCTGCTCCCGTGCCTGACCACTCTTTCAGGATGGACATTCTTCCTAATATTCAATCTGAACCTTCCCTTCCACAACTTCAGGCCATTTCCTCTAGTTCTGTTGTTATATACTTGGGAAAAGAGGCCAACACCCACCTCCCTACAACGTCCTTCCAGGTAGTTGTAGAGGGTAATGAGGTCTCCCTCAGGCTCTTTTTCTCCAAACTAAACAATCCCAGTTGTCTCAGCTGCTCCTCATATGACTTGTTCTCCAGCCCCTTCACCAGTTTGGTTGCTCTCCTCTGGACACACTCCAGCCCCTCCATGTCTTTCTTGTAGTGATGGGCCCAGAACTGACCACAGGACTCGAGGTGTGACCTCACCAGTGCTGAGTACAGAGGCATGACCACCTCCCTTCTGGCCACACTAACCCTGATACAGGACAGATGGCAAAGGTTGAACCTTTCATTTGATAGGTAGGTATACAAAGGAATGTCAAACGTTCTGGATTTTAGGGGTGATTTTTTTTTCTTTGGGGTTGTTCTGTTTTGTTTTGGTTGTTGTTTGTTTGTTTTTCTGGTTTCAGCTATTGCAGAAAGGCAGATTTTTAAAAAAGATGTGGCAAGGATGCAGCATGAGTAATTGTTGTGTTTCCAACAACACATCCAAGAGGAATGGTTTCCCCAGTATTCTCCATGTACTACTATTTCATTCAAAGGTGCCCAGTGAGTTGAAGATCTGATGGGCAGGGTTGAGCTAAGGGGGCATTGCCCTTGGGTCTAAGAGTGTATCAAAAAAACTACCCTCCGTAATCTGGCACAATAAGCAGGAGGGCAGGGTTGTTTCCAACAGAACTAACCAGATGCAGGTTCAGGCTCACAAGGAAGAAGAAAGGGTTGTCCAGTCTTCGAAAAAGCCTTCAATGTTCTTTATTTTTCCTATCAGGAGGAGATAGGAGAAGGTAGAAGCTGTGATGTGCGTGATGATACTATTTAGGGTTAATACTGAGATTGACATTCTTGCGAGAGACTTGATTTATGGGTACCCAGCAAGAGTGAGAGCTGCTCTTTCTCTCCAGGCTGGCATTGTTCACATCATGCTACATATATATCACATCAGCTGGCGTTGCCAAGGAATGCAACGTTTTCCCTGGGATTTCCATGAGGAATGTCATGTATTTCCTTCAAATCTCTCCCAGAATGAAGCGGAAGTTAATCTGAAGGACAGGGGGTGTCGTTCCTCTTGGACAAGCACAGAGAATTTCTTACATTTAAGCAGTTTTAAGTGCTACATCTTTGCTTAGGGTCTGTGCCCTGGTTGCAGCTGAAGCCAGATAAAACCTCATGACGGGTCTTCAAATAAAAAGCTGCTACTCTTTGCACACAGGAAATCATCTCTTCACCTGAACGTGCAGAGCAGCAGCTTCCATTAGGGTGTTTCATTGCAGAAAATGTTCTGCTCAAGCCCAGGTGACCAGCACAGTCTCAGCTAGCATCCTTTTGGTAAGTATTTCTTGAAGTTTCAGTTCCTCAGCAGCTAGAAATGCCTCTTTCAGGTTTTGTCCTCACTCTGAGCTTCAAAGGAAAGAATCGGTGTCATTGATCACTGTGTCTGTGGCTTCGCAACGTTAGGACAGAGTGATAGGAGAGCAAAGCTGCTGGGAATAAAAGAGCAACACCATAAACTTTGCATAACCAAATGCCAGCCTCTCAGAAGAGTGTTTGGAGGGAGACCTTTGTTTTCCCTTCAAGAATATCAGCTAATCCCTTTACTTAAGATTTTTATATGCAGGATCAAAGTATCCCAAAGTATCCTCGTTTTAATGAAAAAAATAATACCCACAGAACTAACAGTACATCTCAGTCTTCTTGGCTTTAAGTCCACAGGAGAGCAAATGCATGGTCTGAAGCTAGTAGGAAAGACTGTGGTTCTCCCCCTTAGGATTCATGTTGCAGTACTATGGCAGTGTCTAGGTCATGGACTCTTGTCCTGGCTTCTGTACCACTGTAGATTAAAAGATAAAAATACATTGCTGAGCCAGATGTTGAAAAGGCAGCAGAGCAGTGCAGGGATTTTAGCTGAGTTACCTGCATTCAGACTCCCAGACCTGGGGGAAAAGCAGCAAAGTGCCCAACTCAGCAGCCCTCTCTCCAGTTTTATTTGGTAGTGGTTGTAATTTATAAAGTGTCGCTTATTTGAGGCAATGCCAAGACTTTTATGGGAAATGTAATGCACAGTTTTGCTTGCTCAACTAATATTGATTGTTTTGGAAATAGCTTATAGATATGTTTTTCTTCAGAGGGAGAAGGGGGATAATTTGCCAAGAAACACTTTGGTCATTGTTTCCATTAAATGTGTGTATAGAGATAAATGTGGCTTTGCTGCTGTTGAAACCAGTAAAAATCGTTATTACTGTTGTTTTAGTCTCTGCCTTCAGCTTAGGGACATTTGGAAGATGGGTCCAAAGGAGAAGTAAGAAAGACTTTGCATAAAGACTGTCAAAGTTCTAATTTCCTCAGATCTAACCAAAGCTGCCAAAGCCACAAAAATGGTGGTCTCAGGGGTGAATTTATTATTTCATTTTACTGTTTGTTGCAGAGCTGTGACCTTCGGAAGGATTGTAAAGTTTTATTTTATGATCCTGCTGGTAAAGAGACGTATATGA